CGACAGGAGTGAAGACCATCCAGCAGCAAGCCCACAGAGCGATAAGTGCCGTCCACACCTGGCAACAGATTCACCGACACCCTCTGCACACTGCAGCGCCGCCCAACTGTCGGCCACCTAAAGCAAAGGAGAAGAAGAGTAAACAAAAGAAAGATCTGCGGTAAAGCAAATATGAAAAGGAGAAGACTGAAACAAATCCGAAAAAAGAAAGAAAAATTAAAATCAACTGGTTTGGGTGGTTTATTATTTTGCAGTTGATGAAGACCCTCACCGCCGGCAGGGAAGGGAAGAGGAGATGAAGCTAGGCCCAGACCCACCTGGTTTCCAAGTTGATGAAGCGTGAACCCCTGCGCTGTCCGCAGCGGTGGCGTGTGGAGCAACACGCCGCCACTATTCTCGGTGTACCTGAGGCTTCATAGAAACGTTCCCAACTATTCCAAGATTTTTTAAGGGGCTGTTTTGTAACTTTTTTAATTGTTTAATTTAATTTTTGTTTAGTTTTTTTTTTTAATTGAATTGTTATAATTTGTAGTGTATGTAAAAAAAAAAAAGGGGAAAAGTAAAGAAGAAAAAATATAGTAAAAGTGAATATATGTGTTTGTATTTATTTTATGAATGTTTGTTTATTTATTTATTTATTTTATGATATAACAGTAAATGCAAAAGAAGAATTTAATATTTTGATTTTGTTCACGATAAAGGATTATGAATTTATACGCAAGTTGTATTTCTAATATTCGATGAAAAAACAAAATTTTTGAAACTTCTTTAACATATCAAAGCCATGAAGTAGCTTACCTCAGGTAGGGTATGTTAAGGGTGTTAATACATTTCTTAACCACAACCAGGTCCTTGCCAGTGAATCTCTAACAAGACCAGTGCACCCGGATTTTCTAGTAGCCCTTAATTAAATATTAGGTGGTGACTCTCAACAAACAAATCAATCAGCGAAAAATGAAAAATCACCACCGAAATCATCGTGCTGGTGATGTGTGACACTACGTTAACGTTTTAATTGCTAAGAACTAGTAATAAACTGGTTGGAGGGTGTCATTAGTACTTAAAAATGAAATTTTATTAAGATTTTATATCAACATTGTGCACTTGAAGTATTAATAAATCCTTAACTTAAGTACGTTTTATAATAACAAGTTTGATAATATAAGATAAATTTAATTTATGGTAAATGTTAATCTTAAATGCAGGCTTATCACATAAATGAAAGGATTGATTGATGAATTTAACTTCTGAAATTTAGAAGACAAGAAGAGGATCAACCTTAGAAAAGAGATGTTGATTCAGTACAAATTGAAAAGATTAATTAGTGTGGTTAATAGGTCGACATGCTATATATGTTCTAATGGGTCAATATATATATAGGAAGGACTTGGCCATGCTTAGGCTCAACAATCCTAGTAATCTATTGGATTCAAAAACTTTTATATGTATGCAGTTGAATTTGTTGCAAAATGCATAAAATATCCCAAAGCTTTACAATTTTATTAGCTAGGACTATATATACACCTAACAAATTTTTGAGATGGTTTTCAACTTTCAATAGCTACTCCTTAGATAAAAAGCAAGAATTATAGAGGGATTTAAAATAAAAAGATAAAAATAAAAATAAAAATGTGAAGCACAATCATCTTTAGATTCCATGAACTGAATAAGTATAATGATATGCAACTAATTTTTTGCTATAACCGACCTCCATAGAGTAAGCCTACACATGCAAACATTATTTTATAGTATCCATACCATTCTTATTGAACTTTTTCTTTTGAACAAGTTATTAGTGCGTGTGTCCGCTTGTATATTGATTGATTGTTTTTTAATATGACTAGATAGCTTGTTTGTGTTTTGCAGCGGGCTAACTCAATTTTTAAAAACATAAAAAACAATGACAAAGTGTTGTAAGTGTATTTTTTTAAAAAAAAAATTAACAGTTCCACATCATAGAAATAGAAGGAAAAAAAATATCAATTGTCAATTCCTAGGAATCCAAAGGATGAAAGATAAAATTGAAAAAAAGTAGGAATCCAAAGGATGAAAGATAAAATTGAGAAAAACAATCAATGAAAAAAAAGTAAAAAAAGAAAATACCAGCAAGCCTAGGTGATGAAATTGAAAAAAAAAAAATTATGAATCTAATGATGAAATCGAATTAAACAAATTAAAATTTGATAGGGGTGCCAAGAATAAAAATTTAAAACCAAAATATTAAAGATCAAAACCCAAAATACCATTAAATATTAAACTGAAAGGCCAAATTGATATTTCTTAAGTCCACAAATTCATAAAAGAGTAAAAAAATAAATAAATATCAAGTGAGTAATGACCAAATTTGAAAAAAAGAAAAATATTGAGAAAATCAAAATCAAAATCAAAATCAAAACACATTATTTGTTGCTCAAAATACTCAACCTAATAGGCTGACTTTTGACCTAGAAGACTTGGGGTTTAGGTCAGCCTAAGTTTCAAAAGATATTGGAACAAAACACGAAAAATATTTGATACTTATATTTAATTTAAAAGCAAAAGTCCTAAAAAAATTCTAAATTGAACAAAGCCTAAAAATAAAGCTATAGGTAACACATGCTTTTTTCAAAATGAATGGAAGATACCATAGGAATTGAAAGAGAAAAAAAAGTAGGAAAATATTTGAGGATGAAACTGGAAAAAAAAAGAGGCTAAAAAGAAAAAAAAACCAAGTAAATTTGAGTGAAACTCTTAAACCTTGGTTACTTTTCTAAAGTTGTAAACCGTTAAATTTCAAATCTAGAATCAACTAAGAAGCTCAGTATAAAACAATTCAATATTAAAAGGTGAGATAAATTAATTTAATTAAAAAAATTCCTGTTAAAAGAGTAAAATCGAATAAAGGGCACCAAAAAGACTGAGGCAATATAAAACCAGTTTAATATTGAAGGATAAAATAAATTGATTTAATCTAATTAAAACAATTGTTTTAAAAGAGGCAAGTCCAACAAAGATAAAAAAAAAAAAAAATCTCAGGCAACTTGTATTATTCTAAAAAAGCTAGAAAAATCCCTTTGGAAGTGGAAAAAAATACCGAAATGATCAAATCAAAAAACCCGAGCCAACTTGGCTTAACTTTAATAATTCATGACCCGAGATATAAGATAGAAATAACTTCACAAAAAAAAAATCAAAACTTAAACCAAGTTAATAAATCATAAATGTCAAGGTCCAATAAGTCAATGTCAAATCATAAAAATAAAAAAAGATCAGTTTTTGAAAAAGAATTTTAAAAAAATACCAAACTTAAAATGAGTTATTCATCGAAACTAGTGAACTGGGTAATGATTGTAGAAGACAAACACGTAATAATAACGATTAAAAATTCTTAATCATAAAAAAATTGAAAAAAATAAAAAATAAAAACAATGAGGATTAAATAATCCACAAAAAAATAACTGAAAGAAAATAATTAAGGATTTAATTGAAAAGCAAAATAAATGAAGAAAAGGATAAAAAAAAAGCAATAAAAAATAATGACCGAAATTGAAAACAAAACAAAATTAAATTAAATTCTAAAAGATGAAATAAAAAAAATAATGCAAAGGATGAAAAAGCTATCAAAAGAATGAGAACTAAATTAAATACCAAAAATCTATCAAATAAAATGCACGCAGATGAAATTGAAACAAAAAAATTTCAAAGTCTTAAAATAAAAAAAAATAAAAAGAATAAGGATCAACTTTAAAACAAATACAAACCAGATGTTATAGAAAAAACTACAAGTTTTTATTTTTGTGGTTGTGGTTCTAAAACAATAAGTTTAAAAACAAATATAGTTAGCTGCGGTTAGTTGGATTTAGATACATACTTGGTAAAAATTATGGTTGAAGTTTATGTATAACAAGAAACATGTATAAAATATTTGATGGAAGTCTAGTTACGATTGTTTTTCAAAGTATTTTTTACTTGAAAATACATTAAAATAATATATTTTTAAAAGAATTATTTTTAATATCAATGCATTAAAATAATATGAAAACACAAAAAATATATCAATTTAAAACAAAAAAATTTAATTTTTTTCAAAAACATTTTTGAAACACAAAAATAAAAAAGGTTTTATAAAATATAATTAAAAAAATATAAAAATTATATTTCAAACTTAATATTTTAGTAGACTCTGTAGTACAAAACACAATTTAATTTATTACTAAATATCTTGATGTGTTTATTTCATCGGAAATGCAAAAGTTGATGAAAACAAATGCCGCCTAAGTTCTTTAAATTCTTTTTTAATGGAGAAACTATTGCATTATCATTGAAAAAAACATGTAAAAATTAAATGTTTATGCATGTATGTATGTATTTACTGATTAGTTTTTGATATGCTGAAAACAATATTGCAATTTTTTTTTAAAAAAACAAGTATTTTCAAGTACAATTTAGAATGTTTAGCACTATTATCTAAAAAAATTAAGAATGTTAAGCATACCTGTAAGAATGTTAAGCATACCTGTAGCCATATCAATATTCCATCCAGGTAATCTTTTTAGCAAACATGGGAGGAGACTATTAATTAAAGAATATTGCGAAAAAAATAGAATTAATTAATTCATACTAATTGAAGATTTTAATTAGATGAGATTTAATAAAATGAAATATTTTATTATTATAATTTGTTTTGATGTGTTTACATAATCTTTTGTTATATCAAATATAACAAAAGATTATGTAAATCTATATGTAATCATCTCACTATAACACAATTACAATTAATAGAGATGGTGGAGGAGATAATTAATTGATAAATATAAAGTGTATGTAAATCTATGTGTAAACCATCTCATTATACTTAATATAATTAGAATTAATAAAGATAGTGAAGGAGATAGGTAATTGATAAGCTCTTGGATCCATGTAATGGACTGCATTACGATAAAAAGATCATTAAATTGATTAGTAACTTAAGACTCAGGTCTTGCAATCCACTTATACACACTAAAAATGGATTAATGGGCAAAAACACTCAAACAGTAACTCCACTAAACCCCAATTTTCCTAAATTAACTACTTAACATCACACAACTAATCTAATTATTACTTAGTAGTAAATATTAAGAGAACTCGGGAAACAGGTCCAAAAAAAAAAGAAAAGAAGAAAGAAGGTAGTGTAAAAAGGTAGCAGAGTAACTGCTCTTAAGTAACAAGTAGGGTTAAACCAAATCTAGCTAATTAAAAGAGAGATGGCAATGTTTAGGGTTAATCTTCTTTATTTTAATTTTTTTAAGTAGTAGTGGTGGAGGGGTTCTTTTTGGCAAGATTGAGCTTGTTGTTGTGCATCCAAACCTTGAGGACTCTTCTCTTGATTCCTATCTCCTGGCAGAACTGTTGCACTACAGTTTCTTCTTGCTTTTGTAGCTTCCACCCAACTTTCTCTGCAAAGTTGAGCATTTTCTCCTTCTGTTCCTGTGTGAACTTTGTTCTATACCTTTTCTTCATCAACTGTGCAGGCCGGGCCATCACCACTCCACCCCCATCTTCTTGCTCGTCAGATTCTGAAGGAAGCGACCCCATGTTGTAAGACATTATCATTTGATGGTGGGGTGCTGCTGCTCTTGAGGGTACTACAGTACCAGTGGCTGTAGGGTACCCTAAAGCCTCAGGAGCTAAAATGCTCTTGTGGTGGCCTAAAATAACTTTCCTTCCAACCCTGTTGAAATGTGGGTTATTATGGTAGCAATCTCCACATGAGGTGTGTTCACCTTCAATTTCTTTTCTGTGGAAGTTTCTGTGACAAGTGCAGGCTGAGCAAGTGAGAGCTTCTATGCTACCCTCTTCACCATTAGGCATGAACTCACCACACCCATCAGTGGCATTGCCTCCCATGGCAGCTGCATGGTTCTTGAGGCATTCTCTGTACCTAACCATCTTCTTGTAAGGCACATGATTATCATCCATACTTGCTGTGGTTATGGAAGGGCCATTATTGAAGGGGATTTGGGGTGCCGTGGAAGAGATGATGGGGTTGTGGGTTGCAGCATGATCGTATTGGATCAAGTGCCCATGACCTCCGCCAAATGCATTTAATGGAATGGGGATCTCCCCCTCACGACCTGAAAGTTCCATTTCTTTCCTCTCCCGTTTTTGGGCAATTATTTTACTTGTGCCTTGTTTGTTTGGTTGGAGACCAAAAGAGAAAGAACCAGACAGGAAGCAGAATTGAGAGGCAAAATGCTTAGAATTAAAAAAAGAAAAAGAAACAGAAGCGGGCTGTTTTCTTAAAATCCTAGGCGTTTTTTAGTAAGTGGCATCGTCTATTTTTCTAGAAGCAACAAAAACTAACTAGGAAAGTATAGAACCTATTAATTCTTGACACTAAGAAACTCCTCTTTCTTGCAAATTGACCCCCCTCAACAACTAAAAGATCAGTTGTATATAAGAAAAAGAGACCTAATCTTAGGATTCACAGCAGCTTTGGACTTTTCTTGAGGCAATTGAGAAGCAGTTGCTTTGATGGGGTGGGGGTTTGTTATATGAGGATGTAAGACTACAGTTGCCAATCTTTTGAAAAAAAAAAAAAAAAGCTCAAAGAAACAGACGTTTCATTAACCACCTAGCTAGACCTTCATGAATACGCATCTCACTCTCACTTCTATAGTCAACTTAGAAGAAAAGGAAAGAAGCAGAATAATTCAGTAACAGTGGAGACTTAGGAACTGGCAAAACCAATATGATCAAAATAACCTCTTTCTCTCTCCACACATATCCTTCCCTATTCATGAAAGTAAGTGTGGGGGAGAGAGAGAGAGAGGGAGGGAGGGAGGGAGAGCCAACACTCAAACACTCCCTAAAATACAAGGAAATGATTGAGCATGGCAGCTAGTTGGAAACCCCGTTTATTTCTTTTCTAGCTATAGAAATAGAAATGGCTTAACGAAGATGAAGACAAGATACCATCAAGAATGAACTTGTCTAATTTGATGACACTGAGCTTAAACACTTTCCACAGTGGTTGTAGAGGAAACAAGAAGGTTTTTGCTAAGAAGAAGAGAATATGGACAGGAAAAAAGAGTATAACAAATGGGTGGTGGAGGAGAAGGGAGAAAGAAAGAAGGACGGGAGAGAGTTTGAAAGGTGGGTTTTGCTAGTGAAGCGAGCACTAAACAACGAGCTTATAGTAGTGTTGAGGGGCAAAAAGAAGAGAGAAGAGAGAGAAAAGCAGATTTTTACTGACAAAGAGGAATACAGTGTGTTTTAGTGAGGGAAATTAAAAAAAAAAAAAAAACGGTGGAGTGCTTCCTTTGCTTTGCTTGCACTATCAGGCATCAAGGTTTTACGCCATATACAGAGCAGTGTGTCAGATAGTGGACAGGACAAGGGAGAGATAACCACAGAAAAAAGAATTATGAAAAGAAATGCTTATTCTTAAAAGAAATTAGCCTAATTCCCTGTGTACCCTAATTAAAAAAAAAAAACTTAGTGGGTTTCTACTCCAACTCTTCTCACATAATTAACAATATTTATTAGAATAGTATTTGTTTTTTTATATACATTTTTAATTTTATTTTTATTTTTTAATATTAAATTTATTAAAAATTAAATTTTATAATTTGTTTAATTTAATATTTATAAGATTATAATATAATGATAATTAGAATTATGAATTTAACAAGTTGAATTGAGTTTTTTTTTTAATTTTTCTCATTCAATATTGGATTGATTGATATTAAATTTCATTATTTGTTTTGATCTGTATTCTATAAGATTATTCTCATCTCATAACTTGGGTTATGAGTTTGACAAGTTAACCCTGATTAACTCAAATATTTTTTTAATTATTTTTTTCAATTTCATCTTTCAACACCATGTTAATCAAGAACTAAGTTTCATAAATTATTTTAATTTTCTTTTTATAGAATTATCCTAATTTTATAGTACAATCGCGAGTTTAATAGATTATACTAGGTTAACTTGAGTTATTTTTATGAGCCTTTTTTTTTATTTTTTTCAGTTTCATCCTTCAATATTGGTTTTGTTAAAAATTAATTTTCATTTATTTTTTATGAGGTTATTATGATCTTATGACTTCACTTGGGAATTAACATCTTAACTTGGATTGACATAAATTAATTTAATATATTTTTGTCTTAATATTTATTAAAAAAACTTTCATTTTAAATATTTATTTTGATTCAAATTATATTTTTACTTGTCATTTAAATTACATTTGGACATGTCAAGGCAACTAAATTGCATCAAATCAATTCTTACAAGATTTATTTATTTTTTCTACTAGAAAAAACATTGACAATGCCTAAATATTTATTTACATTTTTTTCATATAATCCACAACGTAAAGCGTGTCAATCATCTAATTTAAAAAAAAAAACTAAAAAAGAGAGGATTTTATTGTATTCTTCCTCAAAATTACTATTAACTGGAATAGTTTTTTTTCCCCTTTCTTTAGCTTTTTTTATTTTTATTTTTTTAAATTCAATTTTATCCTTCAATATTAGGTTTATTAAAGATTGAACTTTGTAATTCTTTACTTTATTTTATATAAAGTTATCTTAATTTCATGGCTCGAATCATAAGTTTAACAACTTAATATGATTGACTCGATTTTTTTCTTTTTTTAAATGACTTTTTTTAAAAAAAATTTATCTATCAACATTAGATTGTTTGAGAATTAAGTTTTATGATTTATTCTAATTTGCTTTCTATAAAATTATCCTTATCTTATGATTTGAGTTATGGGTTTTACAGGTTAGCTCGGATTGATTTGAGTTATTTTTTGTGTCTTTTTTAATTTTAATTACATCCTTCAATATTAAGTTTATTGTGGATTGAACTTCATAATATTTTTTAATTTATTTTTTTATGAGATTATCATAATCTTATGACATAGACCACAAGTTTGACAAATTAGCTTGGTTGACTAGAGTTTTTTTTTCACTTTTACTAATTGACTTTTTTTTATCAATTCTATCATTCAATATAAGGTTGATTAGAAACTAGGGTTTGTGACTTGTTTTAGTTTGTTTTCTATAATATTATTCTCGTCTCATGACTCGAGTTATATATTTGACTTATTAACTCAAGTTAACTCAAGTTATTTTTTGTGTACTTGTTTTCATTGATTTTTTTTTCATTTTTATTTTTTAACACCGTGTTAATTGAAAATTAGGATTCATAAGTCATTTCAATTTGATTTTTATTAGGGGTTAACCTTGGTTGATTCAGATCATTTTTTGTCCTTTTTATATTATACATATTTTTTAATTTCATCATTCAACATTGAATTTATTTGAAATTAAGCTTCATATTTTTTTTATTTGCTTTCTATGGTGTTCTCATAGTTTTATGACTTGTCATATGAATTAACATGTTAATTCTGGTTGATTCAAGTCGATCTAATATATTACCATCTTAATATTTATTAAAAAAAATCACCATTTTGAATATTTATTTTAGATCAAATTCTTTTTTTACTTGTTATCTGAGTTGTCTTTGGATTTGTCAAATTGACCAGGTCATATAAGAACAATCGTCACATGATTAAAATTCTTTTTTTTTACTAGAAAATAAATATTAGCAATTTCTAGATATTATTTTTTATGTCAATTTTTTTATCCAACCTATAACATAATGATGACCAATGATGTATTATCCTTTATATATCATCAAAAAATGTTAAAGGCTAATCCCATCAATTCTTGATGGAGCTAGTTTTGTGCCTATAAGTATATGACATGGACATGCCTTGCCTTCAACCCTTTTCATCTCATCTTTTATTGAGTTTTTTTTTTCCACATTAGCATAAAAGACTCAATTATTTTCAAAACTAACATAGTTGGGAAAATATTTTTCACTCTAACATAAAAACACTAGTTGTGCATATACTATATATGTGACATATTAAGATATGCATGTAACATAAGCACATCCTATTAAGACATGTATATAGCACATGGGTGTCTACAAGTTGCGCATTTCCTGCATACACAACCATTGGTTATGCATGTAATAATTTTATCTTTTAATATATAAGTCACACATGTAGTACATGACAACCTATTAAAATACTAACCAAAACACAATTTCAAAGACAACAAAATTACAAAAATAACAACTCAAGCTCAAGTCGACAAGTTGTTGATCACAACAAATTCAACATAACTATTTGAAAAAATTAATCTAATTTCACAGCAAGTAATTCCATAGTTTAAAAAAAACTTGAATTGCAACACCGAAACAATTATTACAATAAACAATATCTATTCAATTATAAATTAAACAATATAAACTCATCAATGGGCCTATACCACTAGAACCATTAGCATGTTACTATCCGGTATAATAAATAACCCCATCATCTTTTATTGCATTTTTCAAAAGTTGAGTCTCCTTGACCTCATTAAGTGAAAAACAACACAACGAGAATCAAGTATTGAAAGCACCACACAATATCATCAGCAATATCATAAACCACGACCGAATCTCTTCAACCCTCACATATTAAAAAAATGACCCAGTATATAAGAAAACAATATGTTATTATTTATAAGATATAAATAAGAGTTTTATTATATGTTAAAAAATAATACTCTTATGGATGATAGTGGTAATAATGGTGGTAAGGGATCGATGGTTGTCGCGGGTGAAAGGCTAGAGAGAGATTCAATGATAGAGAGAGAAAAATAGAGAAAAGTGAGGTTTTATATATTACAGTGAAAGAGGAAATATTTTTTTTTAATTTTTTTTTTATGATTGAGAAAGAGATTAGGTGACTTGAGTTAAGAATGATGTTTGGAAGAGAAAGAAGGCAGGGGAAGAAAAAAAATAATAAGAGAGGAAAAGAAAGAAGAAACTGGTTTGGAAATAATTAATTGAGAAATCACACGCATGTACTCATATGCAATCTACTAAGATGCATATGTATTATATGCACAACTTGTGGACATGCATGTCTTAATAGGTCTCCCATGCGGTACATGCACCACTTATGTTTTGTGCTAGAATGTGAAATATTTTTCCAGCTCTGTTAGTTTAGGAAACAATTGTCCTACTGTGCTAAGGTGGTAAAAAATCTCTTTTACTATGGAAAATCTTACTAAAATAATGTTTGTTTTTGTGGTTGGAATTTTTTTTTAAATTATTTTTATTTAAAAAAATTAAGTTGATAATTTTGATGTATTTATTCCAAAAATATTTTAAAAAAATAAAAACTTTTTACCTTAATATATTTTTAAACAAAAAATATTTTAAATAATCACCACTATTGTAATCATAAAGAAGTTCAAAGTTGTCCTAGTTTACTTTGGTAATAAAAACAGGAGGATGTTTGAAAATATATTATCGTTTATGTGAATTGACTGCTCTTCATTCTTCCGTGGGATGAGCACATTTACGTGATGTCACTGGCTACCTTAATTTAACAACTGTCCCATTAATTTCGACAATAAACATTGTCACGCAATTCATGTGAATGATTTATATATACATTCAAAGACCTGAGATTGACTTTACTATGAAATTTTCTCCAGTGTATGTAGGTTTGTAGAGGGATTCTTTAAATTTAATTTCCCCCCTATCGTTTGCGTGCTTCCTTAGAAGGCCTTAACTCAAAGGACAAGTACAAAGGAAAAGTAAAATTGTAGAAGAATTTTTGTAATCATGCCTTAACTCAAGCATCCCTAGTTTCAAGCAAAAAGATCCATCATTATTTTAAAACATCTTTTTAAAAACTATAATATATAGAGGGCAAATCTATTGGATCCAACTGATCACAACCTGTATCAATTAATTAAAATTGTTTTGGTCAGATATACAATGTTCATGCAAAGACTTCACTGATGTACGTGGGGGCAATTAGCTAATAGCTCGGCATTTGAATTGCAAGATGATCACCTCACCTTGGGCTGCATAAAACACTCTCCATTAATTAATCAAGTGATCATTCATGAGGTTATCATAAGATTTCTCAACCACTGCTTTCTTATCTTGGTCAGTTAATTAAATAATAATTAATCACTGTAATTTTTATTTTTTACGACAACTTGGATCTTTCTAGGTTTTTGCAAAGTCATAGTCTACTTATATTGAAATTAAACACAGGTACTTTTTTCCCTATTTCAAACGGTTAATTACTCCCCTACAAAAATTGTTAAAATCGAGATGCAAAGCTAGCTGTAGATGTCACATTTGAGGTAACTTTCTGGTGCTGAGGCCGGAGGATGGGTTTAGGAAAAGACGAGAAAAGAATAATATTATAATACCTTTACCCATTTTACTGTGGAGGAAAAAAAACTGAATTTTAGTCCCTCCTTTATTAAATGTAATTATCCGA